TGTGTGTCTCTGTGTGTGTCTCTGTGTGTGTGTGTCTCTGTGTGTGTGTGTAATTTCAGTGTTTCTAGTGGATCCTGAACATGTGCTGAGTTTATCTCCATGAAGGTCCAACTCTGAAGATGCAGCTTTTTGTCGTCTTGTTCCAACTCTTCTTCTCGACTCGTGTTTCGTCTCTACTTCAACTCATGTTTGTCACGTCCCACAATGCATTGCGCCGGTAAATAACGGCGTCTTCAGGTGAAAAGTCTAATGAACGGGTCAGTTTTGAAGTTTTTCAAGTGATCTGGAGTTTCCAGGAGTCACGACTTTCAGTAGAACACATGAAACATGAGCAGGTGGTCTCTCAGAGACCCTGGACCCCCAGGAACCCAGAACCTTCCATCCCCCGGTCCCTCGTACCAACGAGCTCATGTTCCACTCTGTATATTTCCCATCAGCCCTTGGGGCCGCCGGCATTGGTCACATGACGAGAGCAGTGATTTACCCAGAGCGTTGAAGGTGGCCACGTGCTCCCACAGGTCCGCGGGCTGGTCCGGGCGGGGCTGCCAGAGCAGAGCGTCCACGTCGTGTCGGAGACAGAGACACGGCATCTGAGACGGGTCCACGTCCACCGTGAACAGGTACTGATGGCTGCTGAGGTTCACCTGCCGGGTCACACAGAAGAACCTCAGTCATCGCTCTGCAGCAAACGGACCCAGCAGAACCACCAACACCGGGTCACATCAGAACTGACCAACACCAGCAGAACCACCAACACCGGGTCACATCAGAACCACCAACACCAGCAGAACCACCAACACCAGCAGAACACCCAGGAACCTTTTGGACTTTGAAACGGGTTTTATTTGACGAAACTGAGGTTTTCAGGAGGAAACGAGCTCAGAATGGAACAAATCCAGAAAAGTGTTTTCGTCACGTCCTGCAGATCCAACATGTTCTGTCAGGAGGTGCCGGTCCAAACCCGACTGGTTCTGATGTCCGAACAAACGCAGGAAACAAAGGACGAGAAGGCGTCGAGGCCCAGAGACGAGTCGATGAAGGTTCCAATCAGAGGATCGATGGTGCGCTGCTCGGTGCGATCAATCAGGAGCGGCTCCTTCGAGGGTTGTTCTAATCAACCCCAGCAGATGAAGGTTCTGAGAAAGTTCTACTGGACCCGGGATCAATGGAGGCGGTCAGAACCACCAAACAGCTCGTTTCAATCAACATGGAGGTTAAAACGGTTTAAAAATCTGATTTTACAAATCCACTTGTCAAAAAACTCACGTTAAATTTCACGAGGACAAAACAAACAAACAAACAAACACAAATAAGCTGATGGTGATAAAAAGACGTAGAAACTCTTGTTTGGGTGCATGAAGAGAATCTGACCTTTACACGGAACACCACGAGGTTCTGGTCCAAACTGACAGGAGACTAGAAGAGGCCTAACTAACCCTAACCCTAACCTGGAGTGGCTCAGAGCTGAGAAAGTATCTGCTCTCTTCAGTCATGTGTCATCATCCCTCCATCCATCCATCCATGCATCCATCCATGCATCCATCCATCCATCCATGCATCCATGCATCCATCCATGAATCCATCCATCCATCCATCCATCAATCCATGCATCCATCCATGCATCCATGCATCCATCCATGCATCCATCCATGCATCCATCCATGAATCCATCCATCCATGCATCCATCCATCCATCCATGCATCCATCCATCCATCCATGCATCCATCCATGAATCCATGCATCCATCCATGCATCCATCCATCCATCAATTCATGCATCCATCCATGCATCCATCCATCCATCCATCCATGCATCCATCCATCCATCCATGCATCCATCCATCCATCCATAAATCCATGCATCCATCCATCCATCCATCCATCCATGCATCCATCCATCCATCCATCCATCCATCCATCCATCCATCCATCCATCCATCCATGCATCCATCCATCCATCATCCTCATCAACATCCCTCCCTGCAGTTCAGGCTCCACCACCCTCTAAAAACTTGTTTATATGAAATACTTCCAACTAACCAGGCTGGGTCAGGTCCTCTGGACGGGTTTGGAGGACCTGACCCAGCCTGGTTATCTTCATCTTCCTGGATTATTGAGCAGCATCAGGAACCTTCTACTAAAAGTTTACCGAGTCCATTTATTTAAAACGAATGAGGGAAGAATGGAGCGTAAGACTGACGGACAGACTGGTGCAGCTTCTGCAGTACTGTGGACTCTGAGCCGGTCCGTTGTGGTGAAGAAGGAGCTGAGCTACAAGAAGCTCTCCGTTCACCGGTCGGTCTTTGTTCCGGTGCTGGACGAACTGTTTCAAACTGTAACTGAACGACATCCAGCAGCTGAAGGCTCCAAAACAAAAAGTTATTTTTTCATTCAACCTTTATTTCTTCAGGGTAGTCTCATTGAGCCACGAGAACTCGTTAACAAGAGAAACCTCAATCACCTTCCTGCTCAGAATCTGTCGCTAAAAGGTTCTGAAGAAAAGGCCAGAACAGTAAAAGGTTCTGAAATGTCTGAACAAACGATCACAGATCAAAGGAAAGTGCTCAGAAATTATTGGCTCCCTCTAAAAGATAAAAAAAGCTTTTAGTGACATTTCCTTTACATCAAAAGGATTGAGAGGCGTAAACTGGATTTATGAAAGCAGGAGGACAGAGTCCAGAACCCCCTGGTTCTGTCAGGCTGCTCAGAATAATAAGTGCTGTGTGTCGTCATCATACGTTTCCACACAACGACAAAATTAGTCTCTGCCTCTAACCCATCGCACCTGAGACACCAGGTGGTGCAGTGGACAGATAGGTAGGCGGCCCCTAAACCACCTGAAGGTTCTGATAGTCTGTGAAGGAACCAGCTGGACCCAACACACTGATGCCAGAGAGGAATTTGTTTGTCTCAGTCGTTAATATTTTAAAAGGTGGGATCACCAGAACCACTCTCTGGGTCCAGCAGTTGTGAGATAAGGACTGACAGTTAGAACCACACCGATCCAGAACCGGTCCGACCCGAAGCCGACACGGCGCTCAGGCTGACTCCAGAAAACACAGAGACACGTTTGGGTTTCACCAAACGGACCCGGGGGAACGAACAGCTTCGTGTTTGATTTTTAATAAGATAAACCATCATCTGGAGAAAAACGGATCAGAACCACTGCCTGAAGCTGACCCAGTCCTGGTCCTAGTCTGGACCCAGAGCCAGAGGAGGCCTTTAAACCAGCTCAATGAGCCCTCCACACTCAGACAAAAATAAAACCTGACAACTGAACAAAAAAATAAATAAAGAAAATAAAGTCTCTGAACAGGACGTCTGTCTGAAACTCTCAATAAAAACATTCACAGCTCCAGAGTCTGCAGAGGACGTGGCGTTAAGGCGCCTCGTGGACCAGAGTCTGCAGGAGACGTGGCATTAAGGCGTCTCAGAAACCAGAGTCTGCAGCAGACGTGGCGTTAAGGCGTCTCAGAAACCAGAGTCTGCAGCAGACGTGGCATTAAGGCGTCTCAGAAACCAGAGTCTGCAGCGGACGTGGCGTTAAGGCGCCTCGGGAACCAGAGTCTGCAGCAGACGTGGCGTTAAGGCGTC